CCAAATAAAAGGTAAAACAATATCAGATTTGATTTCAACATTTATATTTATATTCAAATGCTTATGACATGCAGGAAAACTGTCACAAGGCTGTATGTAATCAAACATATACATAAATCGCAATTCGCGATTTTGCGCTATCATACTGGGTGTATGGTCGGCTGTGTGCGATTTTGCGAGTGTGGTAAAATCGCATAACAGCAAAATCGCATAACAGCCGAGCATACACCCAGCAGCGCTGCTGATGCCTGAACGGTATGTGGAATGAAGTGGGCGGGCACCGGGAGGCCACTATGGCACGGGGCAAGCACTATGGGCAGTCTATCTGAAGTGTACCTGGTGTATAAGACGACCCCCCACTTGGAGGCATATTTTTCAGGGCCAAAAAATCATCTTATACGCCAGCAAATACGGTAGACTGTTCTAGCAGGGAGCAAACAGAAGCTTCAGCCTTGATATTTGAATAGAAAGGAGACCCAATGTGCCAGCCCCCTCTGCTGCCTTCCCCAAATCCTACCTAGATACAGAAGCTCAGAATCTGCTCCAACACTGGCCCTGAGTGGATGGACCTCACACTGGAACTGTGTTGGTACCTGGGTGGACCTAGCACTCAGTTTTGGACCTGGGGGTCCTTTTGCAGATCCTCCTGGACAGGCTGGTCTATTGGAAGTGGACGGACCAGTTGGCTGCCTTCGAAATGGACAAGAGAGTTAAGTGTTTTTATAAGCCAAATGAGTGGAGGGAGCCTAATTGGCTTATCACTGAACTGGGCTTGTGGGACTCAGTCTGGATCTAATATGACTTAGAAAAATACAGACACATGTCCCTCGTTAAACTCTGAGTATCATGGAAGAAGCCATGCCTGCTACGGTAACAACGGCCTACATGGGTAGTCTCCCTGGATTCTCTCCTGGCTTTCTTCTGCCTACTCTGCAGTAGACTCAGAAGTCACTTAAGCAGCTATAATAGGTCCAGGGATGGGACAAGGTGTGACTGAAATGTGAACAGAAAGATCAGTACATTACAGGAACTCATCTATCTTTAGGTAAAAAGCTTCAGTTGCTAGAAGCTTCCCAATTCACCCCTCTATAGAAGCAGGAAGAATAGATAGACTATGAAAATGGGCTTCTCTCTGGGCATATAACACACATGTCTTCCCTGGCTTTGGGGTGGGGAGCGAAAGGGGTGTGGGGAGGAACAGAGGCTGCTCCATTTAGCCAATGGACCATGACTGGCTTACGCCTCAATGCCTCCATCTCACTCTTCAGGTTATTTTTTTTTTATCACACAGAGCGCCTCTTTGCTATCCAGATTCAGTGATCCCCAGGCTAAAATATCCAAGAAAATTCTTATTGGATAAAGAGAAATTGTCCCATGGAGAAAATACGTGGCTTAGAAAAAATAACGGAGGAGGAAGGGAGCTGGGGGTTTGGAGGGAAGACGGCCCGGAATCTGACAGTCTGGTTGGAGAGTGGTGAAGGCCCCTGGCACCCAAGGAGGAGACGACGAAGAGCTGAGGAGATGTACGTGAGCTGAGGGGGGTTGGGGAGGAAAGTATCCTTAATAAAAGAAATTAATGATTTGGAATCTGACGAAAATCTCCTTTTCAGGCCACTGGGAGGTCTGAAAGACTCTAACATGTAACAACATAATGGGGGATGAACTTAGCTTGAAGAGGGAGAGGTTCTGGTGTCATCTCCACATTCCTTAGCCAGGTGACCCTGGAGAAGTCATTTAACCCCTGAGCTCTAAAATCTTCCTTGGTAACAGTATCTGCCGCCTACCTCATGAGGCGGCACTGAGGATCAACTAAGAGGAAGGGAAGCCGAAATTCCTACGGTCAAGCATCCAGCTTCTAGAGTAGGACTTCCACGCTTAATCCCGTCTCTACAACTGACTGGCTGTGTGACCTTGAGCAAGTTACCTCACCTCTACACAGCTCATTTTGTCATCTGTAAAATGTGTGACCCCCTGCATGGTTGTGATAATACAATTTTGAAAAGGTCCATGAGAGACTTATACAATGTTTGACACAGTAAGCACAGACAACTATTCAATATTATAATTACATGACAGGGGTTGGATATGCCAAGTGCTAACTACGAACCACAAGAATGTCTTAGAGGAATAGACATAGTTCAGACTACAGAGTACCGAGAGCTGCAGAGACTCTTCCAAATTAAACGGGGCAAAGGTGAGCCTGAATCCATCCTCCACATCGGAGCCTAGAGTATTAGATAACGGTCTCCACCTACAGCTACCTTCTCTGCCTGGAAGATGGTTCGTGCCACCTTGAAGAAAACCGACCTCATAGTCTTTTGGGGGCATGATAGTTCATTCTAAGAAGGAGCACAAAATACCAGGAGAAGGCTAGTATTTAGACACAGAAAAATCCTTAAACTCTTCAGTATTCCCCTTTTATACAGTGCCTGAGCCACAAGCATCAATGCAAAACATTTCCCCCTTATCCCAAAATAATTTCCTATGATTTTATGAAAGATCTCCTCCCCGTACCTGTCCAGGGCACGCTGGTATCTACAGCAAGAGCCTCTCCTTATCCTCTAAAGCAGGGGTGTCAAACTGGCAGCCCACAGGCTGCATGCGGCCCTCGCGGTAATTTTCTGTGGCCCACGATGCTCTGAAATAAAATGAAAATAGAAAAAATTGTTATGAAGAACATAGCGCTTAGGGGAGATCGAGGCAATACCGTACACACAATTTCCTCATTAACCCTTTAACTACTGAAGATGAGTATAGAAAAAATTACCTCGAGGGCCGCATGCAGCCCACGGGCTGCCAGTTTGACACCCCTGCTCTAAAGCAGGACTTCCTATAAAGGCCTCATAACACGGGGATAAAACAAAATAGTATACTTGGTGACATTACAGGACAAGCCTCTATTACTGAGGCTCCACAGCCTGGGTCAGCTACCTGTGAGCACAGAGAGGTGTGTCAACCATGCTATAGATGTGGCCTAGAGGAATCCAAGGCCATGGCTAGGTAAGGCTCTGAGCCCAGGTGCCAGGTGGAAGATTAGTTCAATCTATTTCTGCCAGAGAGGCAAGCATCAGGAGGGGTCAGGATGTAGTTTGTCCTCTGACTTGATCTCACTTGCTCTTAGATGCCACCTGCAGAGATTCCCACGCGTCACACTTCCCATGGCTGCCTGTAGCCTTGAGGCCATTTTTAGATCTGTCTTCTTGGGCAAGACAGAACCATTCTGATTCTCAGTCTCATCCTCTGTAAATGGATATAATTTTACTCTGCATACCTCATAATTAAAGCGTGTGTGAAAAGTTAAACTTGAAACTCAACACAAAAGAAAATCAGCGTAGTACTGGTGTGTGTGTGTGTGTGTGTGTGTGTGTGTGTGTGTGTGTGTGTGTAAAAGCTCTTTAAAAACTGTCAGGCACTGTACAAATATGGCGGTTGTCCCACCTTGATGCAAGCCCGTCAGAGGACACGGGAGAACCCTGAGCAGTGGATCTCTTGTTGTGGCGAAGCTGGCTTCCAGCCATGCCAGGCACTGGACCAGAAGTCACCCTATGGCTCCCTCTCAACCCATAAACCCCACACTGGCATTTCCTCCAAGTCACTCTAGTTCCCATTTACTCCGTCCTTCCAGCCTACTTTCTGTCTCTCCACCAGAGTTCTGAGCTTTTCTCATTTGGTTCACCCTCTACAGGACTTTTACTCATTTCTACCCTTCAGAGAATTCAAACGTGGACTCTTGTCCACTCCTGCCTGTCACCAGCCCTGAGCTCAGAGGAGCTGAGAAGTCTCTTCATAAGAAGGCTCCCCCACCTGCCTTATAAGTAGACTTGAGCATCTCTATACCTCTCTGGCCAGGGTGTACCTCAGTAAATCACAGGGCTGTGTATGGTGGCCATAGCAGGTCCCAAAATGATCATTTCTGGGAAGATTCACTCTGTATTGAGCCCGCCCAATACAACAGTCCCATTGCATCTAAAATAGAAAATTCCAGGATCCCACCACTGCACCTTTGTTATTGATCACCCAATACTCATCCCCTTTACCATGCGCTAATCCCTCTACCTACTGCTGATTCTCTGATCAGCCCAAATTTATCGTCGTCCAAACTCTTTTTGATATATGACCTGGAGCATATAATTCTAGCTCAGGCTGTCGGCTCCTAGCAAGTGGGGGCAGTTTTCATCACCACCAGTGCAGATTCCCAGGGCAACCAGGAGGCTGCTGAAAGAGACCCCGTGACAGCGTGAGTGATGGGAAAGGCCATGGTCCTGAGGGTGAGGAAGAGGAGGGATGTGGCATTGGTCTTCCATTCTCCAAATGTATCAGGTAGACACCTTCTTAATCCTTGCCCTTCCTCCTTCCCAAATGACCCCCCTCCCCAAGACTTGGTAGGAAGGAGAGCCAGCTGAAAGCCCAGACTCCCAAGGAACTCTGTTTCTGCCTTCTCATCACCTCTTGATGTTGGGATTCTGGTTCTTCCAATGCCTTGGATTTGACCTTCCTGCCCTGGTTGAGACTTGAAAGAAGGGTCCTCATGCTCACAGGTAGAGACTTAGAGAAGACATCTTTCCTCTCAGCCGGCTGTAGGATATCGAGCAGCCAGTTTTGCTACCACTATCGGCCCTTCTTTAAAGTAAGTTAAATTCATCTCCCTGAGGTCAGAGGATTTCTAGGGCCCTCGGCCATTTTTCCTCGTCCTAAACCCTCACCTCCTCAACTTCAGAAGGCCCGGCTGTGATACGTGGGGGCTTGGTTTCCCCTTCTAGGTATCAGCTAGCCTTCCTCTCTGCCTACAGAAGGTCAGTTTTCTTATCACGTGTAGGTCACGAACCCACAGAGTGGCCACACAGCAGAGCTGATGCAAGACCCTGGGCAAGGGAAAGCTGCAGGTGTGTTTGCACTGGGAGGAGCGCTGACCCTCGGCCCCCACACCCAGCCCCTCTCCCTCACCTTGGGAGGTATAAAAGGCTCTCCAGCACCTACCAGTGATACTTTCTTTTGCAGCCATGAATCCACTCCTGATCTTTGCCTTTGTGGGAGTTGCCGGTGAGTTCCCTGCATTGCTTCAGGCCCCACTGGTCCTCTCTCCAGGCAGAGAAGAAAGCCCCATTCTTGCTGCCCCCCCTATTTCTCTCATGCTCTGAATTCTATCCCCCGTGTGTGTCTAGCATCCCTCCTTCCTGTTCTTCGGCTCTTTTTAAGCCTCACCTCTCTCACCTTCTGCCTGACTCCGCTCCCAGCCCCATCATTCATTCGTCTCTGGGCTTTGTTTGGAGAGGCTGGAAAGAGAGACCAGGTGAAGGTGATCCATGAAATAAACCAGTAGACTTAAGGCTTAGCCCTGACAACTGTAGCTGTTCTTAACCCCAGGTACACCTGGGGGAGCTGAACAAGCACTCATGCCAGAGTCCTAGCCCTAGAAATTCTGACTTGTTTGGCCTGGGGTGCATTGAATTTTGAAGCTTCCCAGGTGATTTTAAGATGCCCAGGTGTATAGAGCCACGGTTGAGAATCACTGTCCTTGTGGCCAATAACAGTGCCTACCTTTGTCCTGCCTAATGGGCCTGTGGGCTGCTCTCACTGACCACACTGCACAGATCTGAGCTATGGGAGAAGCTGGGGACAGTCAGAGCTACTCAGCCAGGAGATCATCCGAGCTAGGTCCACCCATCCTGACAATCAGGGGCTCAAATAGCTGTGGGGAGTAGGTGAGTGATGAAGAAGAGGGAGAGGAGCATTCAGTGGATGAGAAAACTCTCATTCTGAGCCCTATCACACTGTGAGGGCATTGCTGGTGTCCTTGTCCTCCTGGTGTCCCCAGTAGAGGTGTGGGCTGCAGGGTACCTAGCTACGTGCCCTGCAGACATGCAGAGACTAAGGAGAACCACATCCACAGATAATGACAGGGATAGCAGTGCTTCCTGGACCCCGCCTACCATCACTTGCTTGGGGAGGAATCCTAATTGGCCCGATCCAGCCACAGCGCTCCGGGTCCCACTCAGTACACCCTGCTGAGTTGGCTTCTCCCTCCCTTCTCTCCACCCAAGTTGCTTTCCCCGCTGACGACGATGACAAGATCGTCGGGGGCTACACCTGCCAGGAGAACTCCGTCCCCTACCAGGTGTCCCTGAATGCTGGCTACCACTTCTGCGGTGGCTCCCTCATCAATGACCAGTGGGTGGTGTCCGCGGCTCACTGCTACAAGTCGTAAGTGTGCTGACTGCCAAGCCCACAGCCCTGCCATCTCAGCAAGGGGGGATGAGTCCAGGGGAGTTCAGGGTAAGATGGGTGGAAAGGATGAGGGACAAGAGGATCTGTCAACGGCCACTGCAGCCCAGGAGCTGGGGATGAAGAGGGACTCCCCTCCCCCCCAAAATAGATAAAACAGCAAGGATTATCGGTCATAAAAGCAGGGAGGGGCAATTTGGGGTGTAAGGCCCAACAGCAAAACAGTCAAGGACTTCACACAAGTAGCCTTTCTCAGTTGGCTGCATGGTAAAACCAGCTGAACAATGTTCAAAACATACCAATGCCTGGGTCCTATCCCAGGGCGATTAACTCAGAATTTTCAGGAAGTGGGGTGTGAATATGGGTGAGTTTTCCACACTCTCTACCTCTGGTGATTCTTCCCTACAGCAGAGCTGAGAGTCACTGTCTAGACCAAGGGTTCTCAAAGCCACCCGTGTGTCAGAAGAACCTGGAGGAGCCCGGGCTCTGGTCATCCGGTCCCACCCCCAGAGTTTCCGATTCAGTAGGTCTGGGGTGGGACCTGGGACTTTGTATTTCTACCAAGTTCCCAGTTCTCACACTTTGAGACCCACTGGGTTAGATCATGCAAAATGACAGCGCTTACCAGGCCAGGAAGGGAGAAAGCTAGTCACTGCTTTAGTTAGCAAAGCGACAGAGGATGAGAAATGCCTAAGAGACTTCAAGTAGCTCCTTTGTGCCCATGGCCCTGGAGGCATGGCGGTGGGGGGCGATTGGGAAAGGTGGCTGGGAAAGCAGATTGACGAACTATTGCCACCTGGACCCCTTCACCTCATCCCGCTCCACTCCCACCTACCTCTGAAGCAGAAAGCTTCTTGGTGTCACACCTCACGAGCAGGGAGCCTGGGACCTGGGGGTGGGAAACTGGGGATGTGGAGAAAAGGCCTGCCTGTGCTTCCCGCCCCCCACAGCCGTATCCAGGTGAGGCTGGGAGAGCACAACATCGATGTCCTGGAGGGCAACGAGCAGTTCATCAACTCTGCCAAGGTCATCCGCCACCCCGGCTATGACAGCTGGACCCTGGACAATGACATCATGCTGATCAAGCTGTCCTCGCCTGCCGTCATCAGTGCCCGGGTGTCCACCGTCTCCCTGCCTTCAGCCTGTGCGCCCGCTGGCACCCAGTGCCTCATCTCCGGCTGGGGCAACACCCTGAGCTCTGGCGGTGAGTGGGGCTCTCGCGACTTCACCCTCCAGCTTCTGAAAGTGTCCCACCGCCATGCATGCCCTGAGCTTCTAGTCTGCAAATACCGTCTAGTGCCCACTCCTCACAGGCTCTGGGCTGGGGACCCGAGAGATGCCGAGTCTCAAGGGGTCGACCCCACAATGGAAAGAGAGGACAACCATAGCGCTTGCTGCTGCACTTTCAGGGAGGGGTTCTGCAGGGATCCTTCGGGAAGCTGAAACCCATTGTTCCTTGCTGGGGCTGATGTTCTTGGGGTCCTCTCCTGGCTGCCCTCAGGGTTCGGCCCTAGATGACCATCCCCCAGCCTGGCCTGACCCACATGTTTTATTTTCTTGATCTCTTCCTGCTCCCCAAAGTCAACTACCCTGAGCTGCTGCAGTGCCTGGAAGCCCCTCTGCTGAGCCAGGCCAAGTGCGAAGCCTCTTACCCCGGACAGATCACAGAGAACATGGTCTGCGCTGGCTTCCTTGAGGGAGGCAAGGACTCCTGCCAGGTGACTGTCCCCTTCACATGCTGAGACCCCAGCCCATTCACATGGTCTACCTGGAGGCGGGATTTGAACCCCCAAGGCTGTGGGGCTGTCGTCCCTTTTTTCTCCCTCTTTACAAAACCTGTCCCACCTTCTTCCTCCCCAGGGTGACTCTGGTGGCCCCGTGGTCTGCAATGGGGAGCTCCAAGGAGTCGTCTCCTGGGGCTACGGCTGCGCCCAGAAGAACAGGCCTGGTGTCTACACCAGAGTCTGCAAATTTGTGGACTGGATTCAGGAGACCATCGCCAACAACAGCTAAAGCCGTTACCCCCATCCCTCTGCCATCACTATGCTAATAATAAAGTGACCCTATCCAACCGCCTGTGTTTGCGCCTGTTCCCTCCAGCCTCTGGATCTCAGAAATATCCTTCCACCTGAGGTCAGACAGGGCCCCGCCTCTTATAGGCGGGCAGAGCGCCGCTTCCCAAATATGCTCCATGGAATACTCGTTTGGCAGCAGATGAAGAGATGGAATCCAAGAAATAATAAGCTGGGAACTAGGGGGTCTGTTTTCTACAGGGAAATATGTTTCAGAAAGGCCGCGTTCGAGGGTCCTTGACCTTGGCACCTCCCCCGGTCTTGAGTGCCATGCTAGTGTGTGCCCACATGGGGCCTGGTGTGCAGGGCCCTGCCACCTCCTTTCACTTGTACCCAGAGGGAACGCATCTAGGGGGACAGCAGTGCCAATCACCTTGGCCTTTCCTGAGTGCCTTTGCCACGTGCTCTTACCCAGCTCGTGTTCCCTCCTGGCCCCAGAAAGCCCCACTGGTCTCTGTGTCTTCACGGCCCATTCATGTGTCTGAGGGAGACAAGAGAGGCCCCTGGGGCTCCATTCTTCAAGCTCCGGAGAAATCTGCCTTTTGTGCATCTCACCTAATGACAGCAACAGGGATACACCGTACTGAGTGCTTTGCAGACATTTTCATGGTTAGTTCGCCCTCCATTCTGGAGTGGTTATTATGCCAGCGGTACAGACAAGAAAGCAGAGTTAGTTTACCCATGTCCCTCATCCAGAAAATGGTAGGTCTGGGGTCGGGCTCCTTATTTGCCTGGCTCCGAAGCCCACACTCTCTCTACCCCAGCAGTCTATCCTGCTGCAACCATGGTCCATCCACTCTGCTCTCCAGCCCATCCCTGCCTCACGGCACTGCCTGAGGGGTCTGGTCCCCTGCCCATCTTCTAACACTGCATACAAAGAGATCCTGCACGTTCCATCAACTCTTAACACCTTTCCCGACTTTGCACAGCTTCCAAAATAGAGCCCAAGCTCCTTAGCCTAGAAATGCAGTATTCTTCCTGCTCTGCCCCGGCCTCACCTCCCCACTCCCTTCCCCTGCTTATGCTCTGATGCTCATACGTCCTGGTGGTTCCGCCAATGAGCCATGCACCTCTGACCTCCAGCTCTGGACAACACTGGTCCGTCTCACTCGATGACCTTCCCACCCACTCCTTTACCCTCTTCAGGAAAGTCTTTTCCTACCTTTCCTGCTCCCCAACCTCTTCCCCCACCCCTGCACTGAGCCCATTGGCCCTCTGTCCTGAGCAAGGATTCCTCCTTCCAATCCACGCTGACTTCTGTCACAGCCATGCTGCTTAGTCAATATGGATGTGTCTATCTTGGCATTCGGCAGTGAGCTCCTTGGGGAAGAAATCTTGTCTTGCTCAAATCCTGGTGTATCTAGTGATCAAACAATACCCAGAATATAATAGGCCCCCAGTGATTGAAAAAACAAAGTTAGAACCTAGGAGTGGAGGAAAATGTACTGAAGAGTCTTCCAGAAAAATGGCTTTCACAGTGTGGTCTCTGGACCAGCAGCACCAGAATCACCTAGGAATTTAGGAGAAGAGCTCATTCTTGGGCCCCAGACTTACTGAGCCATACATTCTGGGATGGGGCCCAGCGACTTGCATTTTCATAAGACTTCCAAGTCATTCGGGCGCAAGCTAAAGCTTGAGAATCCGTGCTGTAGAGATAGTCTTAGGCCATACCCTCTGTGAAGACATTTTTACTAATAATTCCAGGCTCCACGATACATGCACTACCTTATTTAGTTCTCACAAGAACTCCCTAAGGTAGGTGGTATTGTTATTATTCCCATTTTATAAAGAGATGGGGCCTTCAGGAGGTTTGGTAGCTTGCCCAAGGTCTCACAGACACCAGTAGGGGGTTGGGTGAGCAGGCGCAGGGGCAGACTGGCTCCAGGAAGTAGTCTTTCCCGAGGGGCAGGGCCCTCAGCAGCCTCAGGGACAGTGGCGCCAAGGAGAACCCCAAACCTTACGTAAGGAGGCCTGAGTGCTGGTTCCAGCGCTGCCTCTTCATCTTGCATGACTTTGGCGACTCATTTAGCCTCGTTGGGTTTCAGTTTCATCTGAGGAAATTAGGAGACAAATTTTGGGTTTAAATGAGGGTATTCACGTGCTGGAAAGGTTTCAAGAATTATGTATCTATAACGTGTTATTTGTGTATCTCCTCCCCACATCCCAACACACAGCTCGAGAAAGGCACACAAACAACCCAGTTTTCCCCTCCAGGCCCCGTGGGCTGTATCCACATTCTTCTCACCCCCTCAAGTGGCCACCCTGAGATTGCAGTTCCTTAGGTCTTTTAAAAAATAATAATAAGGAAAGGCTGCCCCCTGCTGCCCAAGCTGAGGAATGACCCCACTCAGCGTTAACTGGTCTAAGCTCCTTTTAGGGGTTGGGCCTGAGCTGTATGTGCACCGGGCATACGGACAATGTGACAGCGTGGCAAAGCTGGGACAAACTCCATCAGGATTAAAAGTAGCTGCGATACCAAGACAGAGTGGTATTATTCTTTGTAAGGCCAGTCGGGATGAGCGTCCCCAGCTACATGATCCAAAGGTAACTTACTTGGGAGTGTAGATTATTGAGGCAAAGGAGTGGAACTGGGAGTGGAGGGGTGAAAAAGACAGGAGAATATACAGACATAGATCAAAATAAGTCATTACATTCATGAAAGTGTTCCTCTATGTGGAATAAAGAAACCTTGCCACAGTCCAACTGATAAAAAACAATCGATGACCTTTCAATCAGGCTTGTGGTAGAGTGTTGTGAGATGTCAGTATCCCTGAGTTAAAGAAATTATCTTCCCTTTTTGCCCCCCTAAATTCTAAGAGCCACACCGTTGCACTCAGCCTGTGGCACCACCAGATAGCACTCTGATGTTCTCCACGCTGACACCTGTCCCTTTCCTAGTCAAGGAACAAGCAGTGGGTCCCACGCCTGGTGCTGAAATGGAAATACTCAGGGTAATTTGGGGCTTGATCATTTATTTAAACACAAATTAATAAACCCAATCCTAGAGATGTTCAACTCAAAGATCCCAGGACTACTCAGAAATATGCATTTTTCACACACTTCCTAAGTGACTGGAGACTTG